CTGTAAATAATTGACAGATAATATTAATTGGCTTTGGATTAGTGAGCAAGCAGAGGATCACACATTAATATTTGATCAGAAGATGATAGCAGCCCTGGCAGGGGATCCAAGGGGGGCAGCTGAGGCTGCTATGTTGATGAGCACAAGGAAGGACTCGGCAAGGCACTCCCATTACCCTCCTCCAGAAATATAAAAAAGAAAAATTTTAAAGACCTGATGCTACTGTTAACTTTAGACTATTACCTAATGCAAAAAAATCTTGCCAGCTGCAAATTGCCCTCAATATATTTTCCCAGAGAAAATGAGTTTTAAACCTGCTTGACTTTTCTTCTCTAATCAGAAGCCTCCTTTCACAGTTACAGATGTGGGCTTGATAACCCAACCTTAAACACCACTTTCAGATAGGGGAGGAAAGGGGCATGAGAAAAAAATTCCTTCAAGAAACAAATGCAAAACTCCTTTTAAAAATAAACATTTTGGGAAGGATATATTTTATAAACTCTTATGAAAATACAGATAAAACTAGTTCAAGTTTTCTTCATAATGGAACCAACACTTTTGTTCTGTCAGTGTAAACAAAATATCATGATATGAGTAATTATGTTCTGTCTAACATAATTAGACTTGCTCAGAAAATATAAAAACACATAGGTGAAAATATCTCTCATGACCACCTATTTAAAATAGAATTACTGAAGGGTTACTTGACTCTTAAATCATAATTGCAAGATAATCCAATGCCATCTTCTGTAAGTCAATACAGAAATGTACTAATTAAAAGCTATTAGCACTCCGTTTACAATTGATTAGGAAAACATTCAATCTTTTCTAATAAGAAAAAGATTTGGTTCCTCAGAGACACATTAAGGGGAGTGATCAGAATAATATCTATTTGGGAAATTGTGTATCAATGTAAAAGGCTTATTGGAAAAGCAAAATATTTGAGTGTTTCCCCTCTAACAGTGATCACAATATATACAATATGTAATTTTCATATATATATCTTTAAAAACCACACTAAAATATCAATTTACTTCTCTGTGAAAGTGAATCCATGTAGAAGTTAAAACCCTCCAAATCACAATACAGAAATGCAGTTAATTTTTCTTCAGTGAAGAATCAAGAAGGGAAAAAACTAAAGGCCTATTCACATTCTACATTTAAATCCCAGAAATGCCAGTTTTCAGGTCATTAAAACCAATGGATGTTATTTTTTAAAACCGAAGACTAACAACAAAAGCAGGAATATTCAAAAGTTCACACCAAAAGCAAAGCTTCCCAGAAATGGGTGGTGCAAAAAAATTGAAACTACCTGCACACCATTTCAGCTCTTGAGGTGTCTTTCTGGTTGGCTTAAAAACTGGGGATCAATTTCTTTCTTTACCTTTATCTTCGACTTCTAGAAAGGGGACCAATAATGTGTCTAACCTATGACTAGCAGAATTCTGGAGTATTGCCCCCTTCAGTACCACTCAGAGCTGCCCTGGTGGGCCCGATGAAGAAGCTATCTCTCTTTGGCTTGAAGGGCTGAAACCACACAAGGAAGGACTCAGCCCTCATGACACAAGAGGCCAGAGGGCACTAAAGGTGTTGTAGGAAAAGTACCAGGTCCTCAGAGAATTAGCCAGCAGGATGCAAAGCCTATTGCCCAGGAAACCTCTAAGTGTACAATGGGTAGAGGGGGGAGAGTAAAGGGAGGGGTAGAGGAGGCCTAAAAAAGAGAGCAGTGGCTATAATTCCTAAAACATACACAAATAACTTAAAATTTGGTCCAGAGACCAAAAAAATACAGCTCTAGGCCACTGAGGAGTACAATAAAACAGAGGTTGGGAAAACTACAAAATCATCTATGCCTTATTCTTTTTCTTCCAATTCTCATGTGGTTAACACTTCCATTAGAAAACTTCATACAGAAATGACTCACATACAAATCTTTAATATCATGTCTTCCTTCTCACAGTAGTTTGTACTTCTTGAGAAACACAAAATAGTGATAGAAATAACGCCAAAGACTTTATTTTTCTATCACCATTTTGTGAGGAGATAAACATCAAAATCCAAATTTTATAGTATATTATTCAATTTTAAAAAATAAATTTATCGTTCATAGGTGGGAGAAGTTTAAGTCTCTTTAATCAACTATATTAATAAGAAACCATATTAATAAGAAACTCACTTTAAAAATGTATTTTATTCATATGTACAACAGAGTAGAGTTGAAAAAAGAGAAGAAAAAATGGATTAAAAGAAAAATCAACCTAGTTTAACACAGTGAAGGTAAAGATGACCATGGAATGCAAAGCTGGATGCCATTAAAACCACATTACCCTAAACACTGTCTTGGTGGTAGGCAACATAAACATCATCAATTAAATTCCTCTGTCTGTCCTAAGACTATGCCTAAAGTAAGATTTCTTGTTTTGACAGAATAATGTTCCAAGATAATACATGCATTATTATTTACTATGATTCAAGCATAAAACTTTTGATTTCTTTTTTTAAGGCCCCTGAGGTTTACAAAAAGCAAACTGCATGACTCCTTAACATTCTCTAAAGCAATATATTAAAAAAAAAAAGGCAAAGCTTTTTAAAACCAACCTATAAAGTTCTGTTCAATTAGCTCAAAGATCCAATCTGATAGTTAATAAAACTATGAAAGCCATTTTATAAAAATCAACATAAAAACTGCAAACAATTTGTTTGAATTTTCTTAAAATATCTATTTTGCACAGGTTGAAATATTTTTTCACATTGAGTTGATCACAATGCCATAATGTCATCAAAATATCGACATTGGAAACATCTGAGTTAAAAAGGTCCAAATACAATCTGCTTTTCTCAAGCAACACAACACCCGCCTTACTAACAGTTTCAGCATGGCACATGTACAAAACCTAGCACCCTGCAGTTAAGCAAACCGCCTTTAAATTTTCTGTCTGGCAGCAATCCACTTGCGTGTCTGTATGTTTTTACAAGTACTCTATGTATTTCATTGCGTCAGCTGCATTTCTTTGAGTTTTAAATGGTCTGGGAACATTTTATGAAATGTTCTATATCTTTATATGGAAAATAACGTACACTGGAAAACTGTGCATCGGCCTAATATTTATATATCTATTTCTTTATCCACCATTGAATGTTATAACTGCTAATGTTCCAAAACACCTTCTCACATTCACATGCTCACCACCAAATGTAGTGTCACCAAACAGCTAACTTTCAACACAAAAATCTGTAGTTGAGAGTACTTATGGAAGAAAGTTACATTACAATTTGCCTAAGCAATTGGCAGTATGAACAGAGTTATTGGCATATACGAAGCTTTTTCCCTAAGAATTGTCCCTCTGACAGAAAATTAAGAACATAAAATAGTGGTACGTACTACACTCTTCTTTCCTTACCCTCCTTTCCCAGCAACTTTCTCCTGATTTAAGTAATAGATTCTTACAAACTTAATCAATTTTGTCATCTCCCAGGAAAATATTTTTCAACAAAAAATACTGTATTTAGAATATCTTGCCAACTATATATATATATATAATCCATTAGAGTCCACACATCTCTCTTTTTTTTTCCTTTTTGTCTTTTTTACTGACCGGTAACGGGATCGCAACCCTTGGTGTCACGCCCGTACCGGGGACCGGCAATGGGATCGCAACCCTCGGTGTTGCGCCCGCACCGCGCTCAGCCAGTGAGCGGGAACTGGTCTCCACATGGGGTCCGACCCCTCGGCAGGAGGGCCGCCGCGCTCCCAAGCGGCGCACTCTCCAGTGCGCCACCGGGCCGGCCGAGAGTCCACACATCTCTTAACCATATAGGCCTAAAAGAGACGGCTGGCTCTTGAACAAGGGAACAAGGTTTTATATCATGTCAATGTGATGGGCTTCTCCCAGCACCACAGCCATCTAAGAGGATATCTCCACAGAAATATCTATGTGCCACCACTTCCACGGAAGGCCACAAGAAGTGTTTACATATTTAAAACACACGTTTCACAGTATAGGATTCCCCTCAGCGCAGTTTCATTCAGGCACAGAACATGACCATGCTTAAAAAGCTATGTCTTCACCACAGAAAAAACTGATTTCCACAACAAGCATGTCTTACTTTTTTCTATTTTCATAAAGAAAAGCTAGTTATCTTCAATCTCAACAGTCTGTTTCCTAGTCTTCTACTATACATACCTTTAACTCTTTAAGACATAGCAGATTGCCACAGGATGTTTAATTAATAGAATAAGAGTTTGGGCAAGACTTACTGGAAAGGTGCTATAAATTATTTTATACGGGCTCCAAAAACCTTGAGTTCTGCCTTAGGCTTAAAGTTCCTAGAAAACGTGGTAGACAGATCTTTTACAGCAGAAATGCAAAATAATTCATAAAAGTACTGTGGTTATGTATGAGGGCTCATTTGTACATTGGTAACTAGTATATGTACACACACACACACACCTTACCAATTCCTTTTTCCCTCTGTCACACCAATGACTCCATTTGCAGAGCCCTAGGCATGACGTATTTAATTGATTATTGAAAAATACACTGACTTCATTTTGTGCAGAACAACTGCATAGTAACCAAATGTCACTATCTTCTATAACTGAAGCTCTTTTGGGAAATTTAAGAGAAACTGCAAATGTAGCAGTTAACACGGGAATCTACACTGCTTTCACTTTTAACATGCTAGGTATTAAGGCAGAAAACATTACATTTAACACTTACTAAATTTATCCAATCATTATCTCTAGGATATTTCAGTCAATAAGAGAGAAAATATTGAACACATTTAAAGCTTACAATTACAAAATTCTGCCCTTTAAAAAGCAGACTTTAACATTAGCTTTAAACGACTTAATCTTGTTTTTCAATTTCATGGAGTTTAAGATAACTATCTTCCTCTCCCCACAACCATAAATGTTAATCCAAGCTGTAATCAGATTTAATTTTCCAGACGAGAAGGTGGGAATATGTTTTAAATGGGATAATAGTCCACTATACTGC